ACTGACACTCCATAGCAGCAATGTCCAATAGAAATATAAGCTATAAATGCGAGCTCCATATGTAACTAAATTTTCTTGTGGCCACATCAAAAAATATAAAAAGAAAGGGGTAAGAATAATTGTAATCAATTTCATATAGCTTTTTAAATATATTAATATATTCAAAATATTATTTCCATATTTAATCAACAAAAATATTGAGATATTTTACATTCTTAATTTGTATTACCTTCAAAATCTGGGGTATATTTAATAATTACAGCACATTTTACTGCAGACTAACAACATTTTCATTGTTCAATGGCCATATGTGGCTAATGGCTCCCATATTTGACAGTGCAGATCTATAGCATGTATGTCGTCTTCCATATTTCTTTGTCTTTTTTCTCTATGTTATGGCACAGTACCCAAAGTTTATCTTTAATTCTCATACTAAATGTTTTATTTCTGTAATCACTTGGAATTTCTCTGAACTTTTTTGTTCTCTTATTACTTTTAGTTGAAAAATATAATGTAGGCCATTTAGTTCTTGTTTAATAAATTCAGTATCTTCTCACATCTGTGCACATTCATTGCTGATTTTATTGTTTTGCTCTGTGTTAGGTTTCTTCTGTTCCAGTTATTTATCTTCTGGCATCAGTTTTTATATTTGTTTACTTTGACCTTCATACTCCCGCTAATCTTTGTATGTTTATACCTAAAAGTAAGGGATTCAGTTGGTTAATCCAGGTAGGAGATGTGGGTCTTTTCTACTCAGCACATACACATGGGCAGGGAGCTGGCTCTTAGGCTAAGTAACAAGGGGGAAATCATGGCCATCAGCAACCTTACTTCCGCACAGGGATTTCGGTTTGTTCAGGAATGGGTCCTATGATTTTTAACTGGCACAAAAAGGTAGACTACCTAACTCTGTATGCTATGTATAGAGGATATGTGTTGAGGTTGAGAGAGGCACTAACTCACAGCGTTTTCAAATTTGCACTTTCTGTTAACTCCACTTTATCCCCTACTTCTCACTCTGCTCCTGTCCATTTTGAGCCCCAGAATCTTTTTCCACATGAATAACTTTGGCTCTATTTATCAATATGCTTCCTAGAAAAGCCTAAGATGGAGATTTTAATGCAAGTGACTTATTAGGAAAGTGGTCTCTGGAGAAAGAAAGTGAAGATGGCAGGATCAGGACAGGAGAAGGCACTAAATAGCTAAATACGTTGTAGTCTCAGCTGGAGCCTGACTTCAACCTGACACCCTGGGGAGCAGAGGAACAGGAATGGCCTGGGGTAGTTGTGAGACTTTAACACATTCACAGCAGCTGGTAGAAAGACATAGCTTTGGTTAAATTGATCTGGAAGGGTCACCAATAGCTTCTACTGCATGAGATTATTTTTTTAAGTACTTTTCTGTTATTTTAATGCATCTGAAGGAGCAAGGATAGATATATGTGTTCAGAGTGCCATCTTAAGCCAATAGTCCCTTGGTAACATTTTGGAAAAGGCTTGTTCTTTCTGCTAAGAAAGAAAAGTGCTTGAATAGTGTATTGAAAACTGTTATTCAGAGAAACAAATGTAAATTTCAGAATATCCCAGTTCTTCTAGGAAAGAAAGTGATGGCAGTGAAGAATCAACAAACATGTTGCCTACTTACTGTAATGTTTGTCCTTTTCCATTATGTGGTGCCACTTAATCTCACACTACGATCTTTATTCTTAACCAATGAGCAAACTGAGACTCTATAATAGTGTCTTTGTAGAGATTTTGTAGTATATAATAGAATTGAACAGGGGCCTAACTCTTTATTCTTTAACCTAATTGCTACCATACCATCGGTCTTTCTGAAATGGTCAACTGCACCTTGATTTAGTAGCAAGTAGAAATGGGCAACTGCACCTTGATTTAGTTGTGTATGCTGAAATTCTGATAGAGGAGATGCTGTCTCTGTCACCAAATAATTGTACATCTCCATGATTCCCTCTTATTTTAAAAAGAAAGCAAAGAATCTTCATCCTATATCATATGCTAAACATTTACATATAGTCTTTCATTTAATTCTCTAAACAACCTTGTGAATTACTCATTTTTGTTACAACACTTCAAATTCTGAAAGACTAAGTAGCATGCCTAAAGTAAAACAGGTAGTAAATATTGGAGCTATAATTTAAATACCAACCTTTGTAATCCCAAACTCATGCTTTTTATTAATGATCAAGTAGGCACTAATTTAAGAGTTTGAAAATGGCCATTGGTTGGTACCATTCCTTCTGAAACTATTCCAATCAATAGAAAAAGACAGAATCCTCCCTAACTCATTTTATGAGGCCAACATCGTCCTGATACCAAAGCCTGGCAGAGACACAACAAAAAAAGAGAATTTTAGACCAATATCCCTGATGAACATCGATGCAAAAATCCTCAGTAAAATACTGGCAAAGCGAATCCAGCAGCACATCAAAAAGCTTATCCATCGTGATCAAGTGGGCTTCATCCCTGGGATGTAAGCGTGGTTCAATATATGCAAATCAATAAATGTAATCCAGCGTATAAACAGAACCAAAGACAAAAACCACATGATTATCTCAAAAGATGCAGAAAAGGCCTTTGGCAAAATTCAACAGCCTTTCATGCTAAAAACTCTCAACAAATTCGGTACTGATGGAACATATCTCAAAATAATAAGAGCTATTTATGACAAACCCACAGCCAATATCATACTGAATGGGCAAAAACTGGAAGCATTCCTCTTAAAATCTGGCACAAGACAGGGATGCCCTCTCACCACTCCTATTCAACATAGTGTTGGAAGTTCTGGCTAGGGCAATCAGGCAAGAGAAAGAAATAAAGGGTATTCAATTAGGAAAAGAGGAAGTCAAATTGTCCTTGTTTGCAGATGACATGACTGCATATTTAGAAAACTCCATCATCTCAGCCCAAAATCTCCTTAAGCTGATAAGAAACTTCAGCAAAGTCTCAGGATACAAAATCAATGTGCAAAAATCACAAGCATTCTTATACACCAATAACAGACAAACAGAGCCAAATCATGAGTGAACTTCCATTCACAATTGCTTCAAAGAGAATAAAATACCTAGGAATCCAACTTACAAGGGATGTGAAGGACCTCTTCAAAGAGAACTACGAACCATTGCTCAATGAAACAAAAGAGGACACAAACAAATGGAAGAACATTCCATGCTCATGGATAGGAAGAATCAATATCGTGAAAATGGTCATACTGCCCAAGGCAATTTATAGATTCAATGTCATCCCCATTAAGCTACCAATGACTTTCTTCACAGAATTGGAAAAAACTACTTTAAAATTTATATGGAACCAAAAAAGAGCCCGCAGTGCCAAGACAATCCTAAGCCAAAAGAACAAAGCTGCAGGCATCATGCTACCTGACTTCAAACTATACTACAAGGCTACAGTAACCAAAACAGCATGGTACTAGTACCAAAACAGAGATACAGATCAATGGAACAGAACAGAAATATTACCACACATCTTCAACCATCTGATCTTTGACAAATCTGACAAAAACAAGAAAGGGGGAAATGATTCCCTATTTAATAAATGGTGCTGGGAAAATTGGCTAGCCATAAGTAGAAAGCTGAAACTGGATCCCTTCCTTACACCTTATACAAACATTAATTCAAGATGAATTAGAGACTTAAATGTTAAACCTAAAACCATAAAAACCCTAGAAGAAAACCTAGGATCTAATTAAACTAAAGAGCTTTTGCACAGCAAAAGAAACTACCATCAGAGTAAACAGGCAACCTACAGAATGGGAGAAAATTTTTGCAATCTACTCATCTGACAAAGGGCTAATATCCAGAATCTACAAAGAACTCAAACAAATTTACAAGAAAAAAACAAACAACCCCATCAAAAAGCAGGCAAAAGATATGAACAGACACTTCTCAAAAGAAGACATTTATGCAGCCAACAGACACATGAAAAAATGCTCATCCTCACTGGCCATCAGAGAAATGTGAATCGAAACCACAATGAGATACCATCTCACACCAGTTAGAATGGCGATCATTAAAAAGTCAGGAAACAACAGGTGCTGGAGAGGATGTGGAGAAATAGGAACACTTTTACACTGTTGGTGGGACTGTAAACTAGTTCAACCATTGTGGAAGATAGTGTGGCAATTCCTCAAGGATCTAGAACTAGAAATACCATTTTACCCAGCAATCCCATTACTGGATTTTTACCCAAAGGATTATAAATCATGTTGCTATAAAGACACATGCACCCGTATGTTTACTGCAGCACTATCCACAATAGCAAAGACTTGGAACCAACCCAAATGTCCATCAATGACAGACTGGATTAAGAAAATGTGGCACATATACACCATGGAATACTATGCAGCCATAAAAAAGGATGAGTTCATGTCCTTTGTAGGGACATAGATGCAGCTGGAAACCACCATTCTCAGCAAACTATTGCAAGGACAGAAAACCAAACACTGCATGTTCTCACTCATAGATGGGAACTGAAAAATTAGAACAACTGGACACAGGAAGGGAAACATCACATGCCAGGGCCTGTTGTGGGGTCAGGAGAGTGGGGAGGGATAGCATTAGGAGATACACCTAATGTAAATGACGAGTTAATGGGTGCAGCACACCAACATGGCACATGTATACATATGTAACAAACCTGCACGTTGTGCACATGTACCCTAGAAGATAAAGTCTAATTTAAAAAAATAAAAATAGGCATTTCCAACGCTTGGAGGAGAGGGCAGGGTGTCGTTCCCTTTAGCTGATGCAAGAGCCTAGTGCGGTGGTGGGAGAGGTATTGGCAGGAGCAGCCCTGCTGCCGGGGCCTGGGGTTGACCCGTCTGACTTCCCATCCGTGCTTAGCCCACTCCAGCCGCAGCCATGTCTGGGGAGGAGAGACGGAGTTTTATCATGTTAGCCAGTATGGTCTTGATCTCCTGGCCTCATGATCCGCCCGCCTTGGCCTCCCAAAGTACTGGGATTACAGGCGTGAGCCACCGCGCCCGGCCTCCTGCAATTTCTACTCTATCAGGTGTCTGCCCTATGATTTTTTATCTTACTATGAGCAAGAAGAAAAAGAAGAAGAAACATTTTATGTTAGATGAGGAAGGGGATACCCAAACAGAGGAAACCCAGTCTTCAAAAACAAAAGAAGTGGAGCCAGAGCCAACTGAGGACAAAGATTTGGAAGCTGATGAAGAGGACACTAGGAAAAAAGATGCTTCTGATGATCTAGATGACTTGAACTTCTTTAATCAAAAGTAAAAGAAGAAAAAAACTAAAAAGGTGTTTAATATTGATGAAGCTGAAGAAGGTGTAAAGGATCTTAAGATTGAAAGTGATGTTCAAGAACCAACTGAACCAGAGGATGACCTTGACATTATGCTTGGCAATAACAAGAAGAAAAAGAAGAATGTTAAGCTCCCAGATAAGGATGAAATATTAGAGAAAGATGAAGCTCTAGAAGATGAAGACAGCAAAAAAGATGATGGTATCTCATTCAGTAATTGGACAGGCCCTACTTGGGCAGGCTCAGAAAGAGACTACACATAGGAGGAGCTGCTGAATCGAGTGTTCAACATCATGAGGGAAAAGAATCCAGATATGGTTGCTGGGAAGAAAAGGAAATTTGTCACGAAAGCTCCACAGGTCGTCCGAGTAGGAACCAAGAAAACTTCTTTTGTCAACTTTACAAATATCTGTAAACTATTACATCATCAGCCCAAACATCTCCTTGCATTTTTGTTGGCTGAACTGGGTACAAGTGGTTCTGTAGATGGTAATAACCAATTTGTAATCAAAGGAAGATTCCAACAGAAACAGAAAATGTCTTGAGAAGATATATCAAGGAATATGTCACATGTCACATATGCCGATCACTGGACACAATCCTACAGTAGGACACACGACTCTATTTCCTACAGTGCGAAACTTGTCATTCTAGATGTTCTGTTGCCAGTATCAAAACCGGCTTCCAGGCTGCCATGGGCAAGCGAGCACAGCTCCGTGCCAAAACTAACTAATTTGCTAATCACTGATTTTGCAAAGCATATTGTGGAGATGTGGCTGGACAGGTTTGCCATCAGAGTGGATATACCATTGTATTAAAAACAAGATAAAAAAGCTGCCAAGATTTTTGGCGAGTGGTTGGTTGGTCTGAATTCCTTGCGAGACGCTGATGTTCAAGCTGTTGGCATACCCATTGCCTACTTTAACACCTGTCAGAGAAACGTCATATGGGGTAAGGAGGTGCTTTTTAAAAATCATTCATAGACTTCTCTAAAATGCAAGATAAATTAAAGTTATTATAACAGTGATTCTTTCAAAAATAAATAAATAAAAATAAGTTAGTATTTTTCACTAAAAAAAAAAAAAAGATGGGTTACAAACAGAACCTGTTTCATAAGAAACAGAAAATTATCTAAATCAGAATTCCTGGCACATCCTAAGTGCTCAATAAATATTAGATACTATAATTATCTTTCATAAAAAAAAAAAAGAAAATGCCCATGGTGTTCTTTGGATCTAATTAGGCCCACACAACACCAAATTCAATCAGTTCATTAAATTTGTTTATTTCAGGTTTTAAAATTGACAGAATATGCCCAAACACAACATTATTAAAAGCTAAACAGTTTAATCATTCATATTTGCCCTGAGGGTACTGTTCTTGACAGTTAGCTATAGTCTACTAGCAAAACAGAAACAAATTCAACCACTGCCATTCATCTTCCCAGAGACTGACAGTAGGGAGAATAGTAAGATTTTCTGTTTATTTTATGCACCCATTTACTTGCTAGCAAACACAATTTACCTACTCCCAAGTCACTTCTTTCAGTGCCAGGTAGATCCAACTATGAAATATTCACATCACATCGATCTCTCGTCAACCTTGAGAACATGTCATCAGTAAATGTTAAGAGATTATTTCTAATATCATCTTCTTTGGGGCATATCACAGATAAGATACACTCTTTCAGGAATTAGGTCGGTAGATGGTTACTCAAACCCTCTCATTAGAACCTTGCTTTCAAATAAATTCAATGTAAAAAATGAACAAACAAAAACTTTTACATTTTTCCAGAGCTTAGACTTAAAATCTTGCAGAATGTATCAATAGCTCTTTTCACAAGCCCATGAGGATTTAACCCTCCTTACATTCTTTATGATTAATACATTTACAGGAGGATTAGGTCTCTAAATGGCTTTTAAATCCCAGAGGAAGGTAAGAAACTCATAAAATAAAATAATAATTCCTGGGTTTTAGTAGACCAAAACATTTATTCCAAGGAATGATAGCCAAATGATAAAATAATATCCCTGGGCAAATTTCAGTGATTGCATCAGGAGAGGAGCAAAGAATAGTTCAAATATGTGAATGTGTTAAGTGCAATTTCATCTAATTGAGAGATTACTACTTTTTTTTTTTTTTTTTTTTTTTGAGACAGAGTCCCACTCTGTCCCCCTGGCTGCAGTGCAGTGCCACTACGTTGGCTCACTGCAACCGCCGTCTCCTGGGTTCAAGCCATTCTCCTGCTTCAGCTTCCAACACACCCGGCTAATTTTTGTATTTTTTAGTAGAGAGGGGTTTTGCCATATTGGTCAGGCTGCTCTCAACCTCCTGATCTCAGGTGATCCACCCGCCTCAGCCTCCCAAAGTGCTGGGATCACAGGCATGAGCCATCGCGCCCGGCCGAGATTACTACTTTTTGTACCCAGAGAGTCAGGAATTGGTGTGAGCTCCAGTTGAGTTCCCTGAGCAGAAGAAGCCATGAAAGGCAAATTATCACTAGAAAAGCCAGTGTAATCACCGAGTACTATTCTCATTAAGCACCCTATCACTTTCTGCAGGGACTTCTTCTACAGCTATGTTTAATGCATATATTAAAAGTAACGCCTAGCTAACAATAAGAGAAGTGGTAACTAAAACTATCGTAATGCCCTGTCTTTGTGTATACAATACTGGGACTGAATGGACATAATTCCCCAACTCTATACTAAATAATACTAGGACCAAGAATAACTTGCTGGCTTGCTCCAGGAAATACAACACCTGGAGGTTAAGTCTGTTTGCCAATCAATCAGCTAACTCGTCAAAACAGGTTCCTCATCAAGACTTACTTCCAGCCTCTCTTCTCACTATTACCATCAAACTAAAGCTGTTATGTCATAAACTCGACTCAGCCCTAACCAGTTCCAACCCTGCAAGACCTACCTTAAAGTTACCCCTTTCAGACTTTAAAACCCTGTAAATACCCTGCCCTAATTTCCCATGAGTCTGTCAAGGCAGTATTTTTTCTTGGTGCAGTAAATCTGATAAATTTAGCTGTTTTCCCAGGGGTCAAGAGTCAACAGTAGTTACAGCCTTGATTGGGAACCTACAGTGTGCCAGGTACCATGCTAGGTGCTTTATATACGTTATTTCTAATCTTAGCAACAACTCCTCAAGTTAATGCTTTTTATAATGCACAAAGAAGAAACTGAGACTCAGGAATGTTGGTAAACTGCCCCAACTATACAAATAAGAAGTGGCAGATACAGAGGTCACCTTGAGTCTGTCTGGCTTCAAAAACTTTTGGTAGCTCACAAGTCATTTTAAAAATAAGCACAGAAAGTTACCTCCCCACCTCTTCCTTATCCTAAAATTAATTCCATATGCACCAATGATTAAAATGTAGAAAAATTTGTTATTTCATTCTTCCATTTGATTTTACTTATCTAAAATCATTATTTTATCATTTTAATGGTAACTGCAGATAATGATACATTTTTCACCTATTAAAATCTTATTAAATTTAGTACTTTTCAATTTCCCAGGAAAACAAAAACGTTCAGAACTCAACTCCATTTACTTCCTTTCATGTTATGCATTATTACTATAGTCATGAATTTTAATTCTTTAAATAGTTTAAGCTACATAAGATATTACTATTATATATGGTCAATATTTATTTTTATTGGCCCACAAATGTAATCTTTTCAGTCATCTTTCTTTTCTAAAATTGTGAGCTTCCATCTGGGATAGTTTTCCTTCTGCTTGAAAAAAACCCTTTAATGTTTTCTTCACTGTCAGGTGGATGATAACATAGTCCCTTAGTTTTTGTGTTTGAACATTCCTTTATTTTGCCTGAAATTTGAAAAAAATTTTCATTTAGTGCAAAATTTAAGGTATCTATAGTCGTTCATCAATTTGAAGATATCATTCCACTGCCTTATTATTTCTGTAGAAAAGTCAGCAGAAATCAAAGTTGGTCTTATTTTTTCTATTTTGAAAAGAAATCTGTCCTTTTCCTCTGGCTCTTTTAAATATCTTCTCTTTGTTTTGAATTTCCAGAAGTTTTACTATTATGTACCTAGCTTTTGTTTACTTTTTATTTTGCTTTGGGTCCACTGTTATTGTGGCCTGATGTTTTTCTTTGTCATGTGAAAATTCTGACCATTATCTCATTAGTTATTTCTTCTGAACTAGTCTCTCTTCATTCCTTTTAATATTCCAACTGTATATATCCTAAGTCTCATATATACTTTTTAATACTAAAATCCTTTTGTTTCTTTGTTCTTAAATATTTTCTTCTGACTTATCTCTCAGTTAGCTAGTTTTCTTGTTAGCTGTAAATCTTATATTAAAACCATTAATCGAGTTTGTAATTACCATTATTGCATGTTTTTAGTTCTAGAATGTCTGTTTGATTATTTGTATAGTTTCCAAATTTCTACTGATAATTATCATTTTCATTCTGTAAACATGTTGCTCATATTTTAAAGTCCACATCTGTTAACTTTATCATGTAAATCACCTTCTAGTTCAGTTTGTTTCCTTTACATTTTCTTGATTTGGGGGGCAATTCTTCACTCCCTGTATACCTTGTTTTATTGAGTTCTGGAATATATTAAAAATGTGAAGAGAAAATGAGACACTATGAATAGTGTCTTCCTCCAAAGAAGATTGCTTTTTTGTTTTGGCAGCTAGGGGAAAGATTGCCTTAATCTAATCAGTGATTGATTTGATTGGTTTCAGGCCTGTGTGGACTAGTCCGTGTCAGGCTTATGTTTATTTCTAGCATAGATGCGTTTGGAATCACAAGTAATTTTGGAGGGGTGGTACTGGTGTCCTCTGTTCTTGATAGGCCCTGAAACTCTAATTTTCCTACATTTATCTCTGAGAGACCGTCAAAAACCCTGTTTACCTTTTTAGCACCCTTATTCGGTATGGACAATCATCTGGAGGGCTGCCATATACTGGGTTTATCTCTTTTGACTTTCAAAAATATTGGTTGCTCTCAGCCTGAGTGTTCCAAGACAACCTAGGTAAGCATTTCTATTTAAAAAAGAAAAGAAAAAAAACTTCTCAACTTTCTCTTTTTTTAAAAAAGTAAATTTATTCTGGTCTCTTTTTTTCCTCATAAAATTAAGACCAGGCTTTTAGTAAGTAAAAAATTATTAAATATTTTTTAAATTAAAATTCTTAAAGGAGTGAAAAAAATGTCTAAAATAACATCTGTGGAGGGCTGTATCTATTTCCCAGGGTAAAACAGGAATCTACTAGCAAGTTTTCTTCTCTTCCTAGTAATAATATGCAGCCAAGCATGATTGTGACAGCAATTTTTGCAGTCTATGCATCCAATACAAATAACATTCATTGATGACAATCCCCTGTCTTTCTCCACCTACTGTCATGTCTTTAAAACTAGCAACCAAGATGAGTTGCAGGTGTAACAATTAACTGCATCAGAGGACAGAAAGAGGAGAATTTTTTTTTTTTTTTTTTTTTTTTGGCTGTTATTTTTCAGAACATTTAGCAAATGGACTGGCTTGCCATCACTTTTGTCCTCTCTCTTTTTTGTTCTACTCTATCCCAGGGGAGATTGAGCAATTTATCTGACTGGTAAATTTGAGAAGACTCGACTGTGTATGCTCAGATTTGGTCTGTTCTTTGTCATCTGAAAGTCAGCCTTTTCATGAAAAAACACACATTTTTCTCTTGATCCTCCATGATGTAATTCCCACGTAGAGGCAAGCCCTTGTCAAGTGGTGCATATGTCTAGGTGGACAAGTCTGCTTAGTTCTGGGATTTGGTATTAGGAAGACCATTTGTTTTCCATAGAATGCTATATTCTCCAACTTAAGCTTTGTCAGAAGCAAATGTGACATTTCAGCCTTCGTATCTTTCACTCTTATTATTCAATTTATTCAGAACTTGCAAGGGGAAGATAGATGCTATTTATTATACTTGCTTAAAAACCTTGATATTAAAGAGCACTATTTTGCACATCTGTACCAAACCAGATTATTATTGATGCTTTTTAATTTTAATAATTTTATAGCTGAATAATATCTAGTTATTAT